TTACAAAATACAGACATAATTCTGAATACCAACTTGGGACAAACAGTTTTCCCCTCCTCAACTTATTCAGTTACCATCTATAACGTGTAAACGCATACTTGTTTTTATTATTAGATACAATGAATTTCCATCAAGTAACTTTCAGCAATGTGACAACAAATTGCTATATAACAGTACGAGGCAATATCATCATATTTGCGTTACATTAATATTTATGTGGCAATCAGCTGTAAAAGTCATTGCCGTTTTTCCGATCGTATCATATTTTAGCATAGTCACATAAGAATTCTTTTTAAGCAATATACTGTGTCATATTCTTCTGATTTATTTTGTTGACAATTTATTTATGCTTATTAGTTCACCTTTTGTAAAGCAGTCTGTTTAAATATTAGGGATTTATATAATCTTTTTGTTTATATAATTTGTTTATCGATTTTACTATTTTAGATATAGTTTCATAATTATAGTTTTTTTTGATTTTTTCTATGGTAATACATATACATACCCAATTCGAAAGGGAGAAAACCAACGAGTTCTAAATTGAACATAGACATTATTCTCCATTTCTTCCTATATGTTATATAGAGATCATCGTCATCGTATAGTCGGAACGCAACAAGATTTTATTACCATTTCTTCCTTTTTGTCTCCTCATTCCTATTGCAAACTCAGCCACATAAATGGCGTTTTAAAAATATATGTCAATATTGCCGAAGTGCCTTTCCTAGGATACTTTTTTTAAGCCTAGTTCGTTTGATTACATGTAATTGATTTGATAGTCCTCAACAGATATGTATTGATTGTAGGTAGGATAGCAGGTGTTGATAAATATGATGAGTCGGTAAGTAGTCTCATTATTCCTAAATCTGCGCCCTTCATCCGTGGACATAGTAAGGGCATTTTTTCTCTTGGGGCATCCTACCAATTTAACTTGGGAATGCAGTTAATGAGAGAGCCTTTGGATAAAGCCAGCGCAACTTTGGACTTGAGATTTAGGTTCTTGTACCTCGTTGCTATCTTTATATATGTGTTTGACCTTGGCATTAGTTTCGTTCGGTATTGGTTAGTACTCGGACCTTTGTAAGTCGGGAAATACCTCTGATGGCTTTTCTAGCAATCCTGATCTAATTAATACGTTCTCGTTACATATCCACACATTAGCACTGGTTCACTGTTTTATATATCCTGATTTTAGAGATTTATATTAGGCTTCTGGATTTAAAAGTGTTATAAGGGTTCTATATACATCAGTTAGCTACCTGAATTTTCCCTTTTATTTCTTATGTGACAACGTTATCTACGATATCTAAAACGCTGCAATCTTTCAAAATTATATAGCTTTATTTTTACCTTATGCCTTACTCTACATCCTTTCTTTTGTATGTTAAAAAACATTTATTTGATTTTCTCATTAGTGACTATTATACCGTTTTTGCTGCTAGTAGCATTATTTTATAGCATTGTAATATTTAATTTATGGATTATATTCGGATAGCAAATAAATATTCTTTACTTTCTCGGAGAAATAATATTCTAACACACAAAATCCTATTAAATTGCCAAAAACCTCCGTACATATTCTATTCACTTATGAGGGCAGTATAGTCCTGGACTGGCTAATTTTTGGATATTAGGAAACATGAGTGTAGCAGTTTTAATGTTTTCGGGACTGCTACTTGGTATCGGGGAGCAGAAATATCATACCAAGGTATTGCATATAGGAATTGTTGCTTGAACTTTATTATTATTAAACAACACTATATTTCCTAGTAAAATCATTATGACTTTACAGTAAGACAAATTTTCGATGTTGGTTATGAAAACATCATGTACATACCACCGGGTTCCCTATATCGATCTCCAGAAAAATCTTTGTAATAATGATACGGGAAACAGAAAACCAAGAATGGAAATATGCGCCAAGAAACTCTGTGATATAACAGTCGAATAAAATACAGATTGTCGATTTAAATAGTCAAAAAATTAATGAACAGCTTACTAAAGTGGAAATATCGCCTATTTAAGATGTAATTCATTAAAGGCCCAAGGTACAAAGCACTCCTAGCATATGCTAATGACATAGATCTCATTAGAAACTCTCCCGTCTGCAAACATCTTCAATAAAGTAAAGAGAGCACGAAAAATCAACGAAATGAAAACCAAATACAAGCGAATCAACAGAAAAGACCAATTTAATAAATCTAGATAAAATATTAAAGTTAACAACTACAATTTCAAAATATGGAACACTTTAAATATCTTAGATAAATAATCACTGTTAATAATAATGTCAATAACTAAATACTTTTAGCATAATTCAAATTTTAGACCTATTTTAATACATGGATGCGAATCATTGACATTGACTAAAAAAATAAGGAAGAAGTACGAATATTTGAAATAAAAATAATTAGAAAAATGTTTTAACCTCATTATCATATCGCTTCTTCTTCTTTTTGTGCCACTCCTATCGAAGATTGGAAATCATCAAGGCTATTCTGATCTTGTTTACAGCTGACCTAAAGAGTTCATTAGTGGTGCAGCCAAACCACTTTCTCAAATTCCGCAACCATGACATTCTTCTACGGCCTGGATTCCGTTTTCCTTCTATTTTTCCCTGCATTATATTTTGAAGTAATGTGTATTTATGTCTCTCATCAGGTGACCAAAATATTCGAGTTTTCTTCGCTTTAGCGTTAACAAAATCTCTGGGTCTTTTCCTATTCTTCGTATTACTTCACAGTTTGTTATTCTTTCAACCCAAATAATCTTCAGCACTCGACGGTAGCACCACATCTCGAAACTTTCAATATTTTTCATGTTGTTCTGTTTGAGAGTCCAGGCCTCTACACCGTATAATAGCGTGTTAAATACATAGCCTCTCAGCATTCTTAATCGTCATATCGCTACAAATCCGTATAGAATAAGAACCCATACTGAATAAAGAAAGCTTTTATAACGATATTGTTCAGAAAAATAAATCACTTAAGGTAGATCGGACACATGCATAGACGCCAATATATCAAACTTGTAAAACTGGTATGGAAGGAAGTTAGCACAGAAGAAAGAATGCCGCTTAGGCGTCTCAGTAAGCAATGGAGAGAAAACATCCAATTATATCTTAAAATATTAACATTTCATTTGATTACAGATTCGTGGAAAATCGATGAACTTGGAGAAAATTTGTAGTTAGCGAAGACCCACCCAGTGTTGTAGCGCCACGTAATGATGATGATAATGAAAAAGGAGAAATAGTGACAAAAAGTAATAAAAATGGACTAATGGAGCAAACCTGCTTTAAAATCTTGATTGGAGAGGATTAAAATGAAGTATAAGAAATACAATGAATGATTGATGGATTCGAGAAACTTGAGACTTGAGAAAAGCACACTGACGTGTGTATCCATATTAAATTCCTTAGATTTTTATACTTTTTTTTAGACTTTTATACTAATAGCTTTAAAATTGAATGTTTGGTGAAAATAGCTACGCGACTTTAATGCATCAAATATTTTGTTAATTAAAAATCAACATATTGAAATTAGACAGCAAAAAATTATAATATTAAAGATTAATTTATAAATTATTATAGTCTAATTTTAACTACTTCATGAAATAAATATTACACGCCATAAACTGCAGTAATTGAAAAATTATAAAGATCTTACAGAAGAGTTTCTTAAACTGTTAGACGATTACGCGACTCGATGTTCATATTAATAGGTTCCAAAATGTACTACCTATAAAATTTAAACATCTACTACTAATACAATTATTGGCAACATCGCAGGAGTTAAGAAGTGTACGGGAAAAGTTATATATGGATCCCAAAAGTGTTTGATCCTATTACGGAGTCCACTTGATCCGATGTATTGGTCGGAGTCTACATAAAGCGCTACTCAGATAATAATATACACGGCGTTATATTCTCCTGGAGTTAGTATAATACCGTTTTAGTACGGAGCCCATATTAACCGCTAGAAGTATATATATATATATATATATATATATATATATCTGATATATTTTTTAATTTCTCTTTAATACCATTTTCGATGTTGTTGGAAAACTTAAAGCATTATATTTTTGGTTTAGACTGTTGAGATTTTTTTATTTCTATGCATTTTTTGCATTTTTTGCATTTCTTTTAATTTGAATGTTAGCGAGCATCGTAGTTTGGTTCAGGTTTATTGTATGTCCTGTATTTGAGACATGTTGTGTAATGGACGACGTTTTTCTCTCCTTTTGATGTTCTTTACATCTAACATTGATTCTTCGATTGGTCTGTCCGATATACGATCCTTCAGAGTCCCCACATGGAATCTCTTATACTCCTTGATTTTCAAATGATATTGTTATTTTGGCGGATGGTAAAATAGTCGATATTTTTCTGTTGGTATTAAATATCGTTTCTATTTTGTGTTTTCTTAGCACTCACCCTATTTTCTCGGTTGTACCCTTTACATAGGGTAGAATAGCTTTTGCAATCGGTTTTGCGCTTCTGTTGGGTCCTCAATTGTTTCTTGAGCATTACGAGCCTTTTCAATGATATACGTTGAGAAGCCGTTTTTTCGTAGCGCTGGTTTCTTATTATGCATTTCTTGATTTTTATGTTTTTCGTCTGATAGTCTTTTGAATCATGATCATATCATCAGAGTTTTATTGACAGGCTGTAATTGTGTTGAATGGTGATATGAATCGGCATGTAGATGTCTGTCTGTATGTCTCGAGCTACGGAATTAACAACCTACTTAATGAACTGCGTAGTCTAGACTGAGAGTAAGGTTCGATGTGAAGCATCCAAGCTCAGCTTGACAAATGCAACTTTATATCACTTTCGTCTGATCTCGCAAAAGGAAGGAAGCAGTTGAGCAATATTTTCTACATGTTATACTTAACGTCGCTATAATTTATGGTATTAATATAATAACCAATACCTTTTTTTAAATGTAGTTCAGTACAATTTATTAAATGTGTATTAAAAGTTCTCTTTTTTTAAGGCAATGACTCAAGAAAGACGAAGATATGGATTTGTTCTAGAAAGACAGTGCTCGTTATCTAAGCATTATCTCTCGTATTATTCAAATGGAGTTGAAGCTTATCAAGAAAATATTGAAAAATGGTCCGACGTTGCAAAAACCAGGGAATATCTGCCGGAATCTGTAGAAAATATATTCACAAATAAAATCAGAGTAAGTTTTGACTTTAGGATTTACTTTAATCAAAATCAACTAATTTTTATTTTTCAAGCAAATATCCATATGGCAAAATGATGACCTCTACTCAAATCCTAGAAGTCCCAATCTCGAAGATGACAGACTAAGCATGAGCTCCCAACTCAGAAAGACTAGAAGCATGGATGCCTCTTGCTTGGATATCCGTTCAATAGAAGAAATCGGTTCGCCAAATAGTACTCTTAATCGAGCTAAATCGGAATATAATCTTAACTCATCTGCCCACTCAAATACTCAAGGTAAATAATTTATTTATTTAAATAATTACTATTTGTCTAAAATATTATACATTTTTGTTGGCAGTTAAAACCTTTTATTGTTGTAGTATGCAAATTATATATATTTATTTGTACTTTAATTATTATTTATAACTGGGAATAAGCCACAATTAAAGATAAAAATACGTTTATTGACGTTTCAATTTTCAATTCGGAAATCGTTCTCAAAATACAAACATTAAATTAAACAAATTTGTTTTTTGTTACATAGTGAAAAAATTCTTCTAATTATTTAATTTATCTGACTCATTTATATTGACAATTCAGACATACATTATGGCATTTTAAAGTAGACGACTTTAAAATGATATTGCCAATATTGTTGAGTTGCGCTCCTGGGACGACTTTACTTATAAGATAGTTCATTCGATTACATGAAATCAACTTTAACTTGAGAATATCCGTCAGAAAAAATCATAGCATCTAATTCGTCTTTAAAAAGACAAACACATGACATGATGACAGTAAAATTCTCCTGTTAGTGATTCCATAGTAAATTATGAGGGAAAAACCAGGAAAAAAACCTCATAATACTATCCCGACATTGTAAGTATTTGTTCGTGAATTTAGTTTACCTTCAACAAACATCAAAATTCTGATTTTATATGTTACGTAATTTAAAAAACATAAATGATGTATCCTCTATATGTTACTGACTTACTAATACTGGTATTTTCTTATTAATAACTTCCTCTTTTAATATTGGTAACCAGATCCTACTACATTCTGCCGAGGAATTTGCGACACAATTGGCCTCATTTAGCATAATTAGAGCCGCTTCTTTGATTTTTCTTTTTTTACCATCCGTTTCTTTTAGGACTATATTTTAATTATTCCATTGAACCCTATGTTCATTATCCCATGCGTGTTTACATATTTGAGATCTATCAAATTCTCTATTTTTAATATAAGATTGATGTTCACTTATTCTAACATTTAATGGCCTTGATGATTCACCTAAATAAAACTGATCGCATTCACAAGGTATTTTATAAATGCAATTCTTTGTCCTTTCTTGTTCATTGTTAGGTTTGGTTTTGGACAAAATAGATCTCAACGTGTTTGTTGTTTTGAATGTTGTTGAAATGTTGAATTTATTTCCTATCCTTTTAAGTTTTTCTGATAATCCTTTTATGTACGGTATTGTTATTTTCCTCATATTATTCCTTGTGTATGCTGTAGGATCTCGTCCTAAGTTGTTCTGTTCTATTCGATCGATTGTTGAAAATTCCTTATTTATAAACGATAAAGGATAATCATTTTTTAATAAAACAGATGTTAACAAATGTTTCTCCTCCAAGAACGAATTTTCGTTAGAACAAGTAATTTTGGCTCTATCGTATAAGGATTTAATTATTCCCTTTTTTACATTAATATTGTGATTTGATTTGAAATTTAAATATCTATTGGTGTGTGTTGGTTTTCTATACACCTGAGTCTCATATCCAGTATCGTTCTTAGAGATTAAAACATCCAGGAAAGGTAGCGTATTATTATACTCCTTTTCCATGGTAAATGTTATTGTCTCTTCTTTATCGTTTATATCGTTTAGGAATGTGTCCAACAACTCTGATGCATGAGGCCATATTGAGAATACATCATCTACATACCATAAAATTAAATAATTAGAAGAATTTTTTCACTATGTAACAAAAAACAAAATTTGTTTAATTTAATGTTTGTATTTTGAGAACGATTTCCGAATTGGAAATTGAAACGTCAATAAACGTATTTTTATCTTTAATTGTGGCTTATTCCCAGTTATAAATAATAATTAATTTACAATGCCACAAGAAAATAGCTTCAGAACAATATTTATTTGTACTGTTATATATAGTGTGTTTATTATTGTTTTGATATTGAGTTGTTCTAGTGTTGACACAAAGGGCAAAGAAATTATTAACACCGCAAAGAACAAAAAATTGGCTTACTTCGGCCACATTAGGCAAAATAATAAAAACCAACTTCTAAAGTTGATTATACAAAAAAAATTGAGGGCAAGAGAGTCCCTGGACGTAGACGTATGTCTTGGCTGGTCAATCTTAGGAAAAGGACTAGTCTAACGTCAACTGATCTATTTCGGATTACATTGAATAGAATAAGATGGGTCAATGTGATCGCCAACATCACTAGAAGATAGGCACATTTGCAAGAAGTGTTGACACATTTGTTCTGTGATCTCTTATTCTTAGTAAATTCTTTTACAGAACATGTTGATCGCATGTGTGCTCTTTTTGTCAATTTCCTTCTAATAGCCTTCTAGTGAGTCTAATATTCTTATGCGTATAGAAAATCTTGAAAGACCGATCTAACCTGTCATATTTTTCTGTCAACATTGATTCTATGCCTTCTCCAGATTTCAATAAGCTTAACCATTGCATTTTTTGCTATTGATATTCCCAATCTTATTAGTGCATCCACCGGCGTTAGTTGTCATAGACCCCTAAACTAAATTAAGTGGCTACAATCTGGTTGTTATTTATTTCTGTTGGTAAATTTTGGTTTATAACACCGCCACGTCATCTATCGTTGGCTTTCCCCATAATTACCTGGTATAATTAAAGCAGAAAGCACTATTTGTAAATGATCCTTTAATATTCAGATATAAATTAATGAACTTAAAATCCTCTCTCTATTGTTGAGCAATTAAAAACACTAGACACATTCAAATGTTTAAACAATTTAACATAATTATTTTAAACTGCAACTTAATTGTACTTAATAAAGTGTTAATTTTAGGAAGCAACACACCAACTCGTCAGCCGATGAGACCCATTACAGTCCCTCCTCCGCCCACCTGGGACTGTCAATTGGCTCGCGCACTCTACGCTTATCTTTCAAGTGGTGAAAACCAGTTAAGCTTCCACGAAGGCGATTTGATCGCCCTAATTGGAGAACGGAACAAGGGTTGGCAATTTGGAGAAAACCTTCGGACTCAATGCAGTGGGTGGTTCCCATTAGCATACACCGAGATTATAGAAGATCCTCCAACGTAAGTAATATTTTTTAATGCAAATTTATGATAGTAATAATTATGAAATTTTATATATTTTTAAATTAATGTAACTACGGAGTTGCTAAGATAAAGATTCGAGGATTTTGAAATTAAAGAATCAAAAGGAAAATGATAACAATCCAAAGTGCATAGATTAGTAATCATATCAGAAATGAGCTCTAAAATAAACTATATTCCCAGCAACATTTGTTAATATGTCATGCTTTCAATAAAATCTGGCATAAAAGTCTACTATTTAAACTAAAAAAACTTACTTCTTTATCAATTCTATTAACTGAAATCGTACTTTTATAAGAAATGCTTCTCAAGTAAATATAAATCAGAATATTCAGACTTATATCTAAGTAAAATGGGAGTGCTACAACGCAGTCTGCAAGGACCAATGCTCCTTAGCTTTTCACTGCAGACCAATCAACCTCTAAAATCAAAATCACAGCGACCTTATTAAATTACTTATTTTAATAAGAAACCATGTGCAAATCAGTAATAAATCAGGAATGTAGCGCAGCTACCGACTTCACTACTGCTCTTGAAAGAGACTGACTAGACACAGAAAGGTGACAGTTGTTTGTTCCTTTGTCGCTTTGTGTCTGGTGAGGCAGGAATGCTGAAATGATCATAAGACTCTATTGATACCGATTCGAGCACGGGAAGTTTAACGAATTTATCCTAGGCCATTTAATATATATTATGTATTTATATGTATATATATATATATATATATATATATATATATATATATAATATATATATATATATATATATATATATATATATATATATTAGTGGATTTTCTTGGGCTTAGGTTCATAAAAAAAATTAATTTGGTATTTAAATTTTTTCCGACGTTTCAGCAGAAAATCCATGCCTTTTTTAAAAAGTACTGTTGCACTATAACTACTTCATGGTATACCAAAAAAACCTGGTCGTCAAGATATCTGAATTTCAACTCTCATTATCCCCTGTCTCAAAAGAAATCAGTAGTTATCGGACTCGCCGATAGAGCTATTAGATTATCCGATCCAATCAATAGACCGCAGGCCATTAAAAAAGCAAAAACAGCAGTAACACTTAATTCATACCCACACCACCTTATCGACAACACTTTCAAATCGCGACTGCATAAATTTTACAATAACAATAATACATAATATTACGGTTATAAAGGGCAGAATCTTTTGAAAAGGAATTTTACAAGATAAAAACAAAAACCCCTCTATTAAAAAGATCGCATGTTATATATGAAATTCCCTGCTCAAATTGTGATGGAGTTTATATTGGACAAACCAGTCACCTACTTAGGTCAAGAATAAGTTCCCACAAATATGGCAAAAAAAACTCAACCCCCCTTACAAAACATGAAAACGAAAAAAAAAAATAAATTTGATTTTAAGAAAACCAAGATCCTAAAAAGTGAACCCAACAGGAAGAAAAGAGAGCTTTTAGAGTCTATACAAATAAAAAATAAGAATAACGCAATAAATGATAAAAAAGATAAAGTTAAAAGTTAAATGCACATAAAAAGACCTAAACCGGTGCAACCTCCACCTCTTCCACTATAAAGCGAAGAGAGGATTTGTTCCAGCTCCCTTTGAGATAATATAGCAATATTTCTGTCAAAGCGAAATATCTAAAGATTGAAAAGGAATGCTCGATTTTAAAATATTATAAGAATTGTACACTAATCACAAAAATAAATAAGTTTAAATATGAAAACCAATCCTAATTTAATTATGAGAACTATTGATCACATTAGACAAACTGTAATTTAAATATTTAAAAATTCTTAGGAAGAAAGGTAAAACATACAGAGATCTAGGTGATCAAATAAAAAATGGTTCTTTTATTAGAGGGCATTATCTAGTTATGATTAAAATCTTATTCCAAAATTATTTTTACTAATCACAAATATTTTATGTTTTGTAGCTCACCAAGTCATCGAAGTAATGCTAGCGGATCCCACTCAAATAATCCAACAACGCCCACAGCTGGGGGCAACTATCTGTCTGCTGAAGCCGGAACGCCTTCTGGTAACGCTACATTAGACAACCCCAGCACTCGTATGTTTGGAGATACTTTACACTTACATAGATCTTCCAATACTGCTAAACAGGTAGTGTAGAATGCTAGAATAATTAATATAAGGTAAAATATGCTTATAGGCCTTAATAAGATTTATATACTAAAAAAAATATATCGTATGTTTTGCATTTTTTTTTGGGGTAAGTTTTTACTCATTTATACACAATTTTTATGTTAAATTACAAGTACATGTAATTTTGTAAATGCTTTTACTACAAGATATTAGATTTTGCTTTTAGATTCAGCAAAAGTATTCATCAATATTCTTATTTTTTATTTTTTATGGTCTGTATGTATAACAGAGATGAAAAGGAAATTAGGATTTTAACCGAGATAATAATAATTTTATATTCTCTATATAAATTTTCAAATTAAATACATAGTATAAAGTACGAACTCAATAAAACTGACTGCTGGTAGTATCGTGCCATTTAATAAAAATTACAAGATACAACGTAAATACTGATATAGCAGTTCTTAAAATAAAGAATTAATCTTTTCAAAATTAACAGAATTATATTAAAATGCCAACATCTGCTATGGTAAAATATTCCGCAAGCAAAAGCAACCTCGGATTTATTTTTTGGTAAAAAATACTTTAAGGGAAACGGCATCATAGGTTAGTAAACTTAGAATGCTACACATAATGAGATGAGCTAAATTAGCGAATGTAAGGACTTAAAAATAATAATTAGTTAGCATCTACATAAGTGCATCTGTTAAACATTTTTTTGATTGTCGTATTGCCAGACCCAGTAAGAGCCTAGGAAGGTGTTCATGTAATTCTGGCAGGCAGCAGGGGGAACTTATTTTTAGACATCTAATGTTACGGAGCAAGATATCCTGGCATCTTCCGGGCTCTCGAGAAAACAAAAACAAGATTTCAGATCCCTGGTTTAATTTCCTCCTTTGTCCTCCTGCTCCTTCTTCTTTATCACTCCAGAAATCAGACAGTGTAGTTATCTCCATTCTCTATCTCCTCTTATCATTATATTTCCTTTATGCTGTCTGATCTTACTCTCCCACCATGGCCTTAAATCAGGATAAATATTTAAAAGAATTCAAATTTTCTTCTATAAGACTTTGTCGAACTGTTTCCAGGCTTATGTAGATGCCCTTATGTTTTGAGATCAGATTGCAACTGTCGGGCTGGTACAAATCGTTGTATTAGCGCGGAAAGCCTTAAAAACGATTTTGAATGGAGGTCATGTCACGGTTTTTGCCCTGTCTGTATCTTCTGGTATTTTCACCAATTACCCTGTATTGTTCAACCTATCGTTTCACCTATTCGGCGATAACCCAAAATTTCTTCGCGTTCCAAAGGCTTGAGCATCCTACTCACCTTAACACTTAAATAAAAGTGTTTTGAAGTTAGTAAATATTAAACCGACTTCTTCTTCTTAACGTGCCCTATTATGTCCCCTTGACGTTGGCGATTAACATCGCGAAACTGTCTCTGTCTCGAGCTATTCTAAAGAGTTGCTCAGCTTTCCTTATTCCTGTCCACTCCCTGATATTCTTCAACCAAGAGGCCTGTTTTCTACCAATTCCTCTGCGTCCTTCGATTTTACCCATCATAATAAGTTGAACAATATTATATCGGTCTCCCCTTACTACGTGCCTTTCTACATTTGATGTTATCAAGCAGAGAAATTTTTAATGTCCATGCTTCGACACCGTATAAGAGGACTGACCAAATGTAGCATTTAACCATGCGCTTTCGAAGTTGAATTTGTAAGTTATCATTAAAGAAGAATGACCTCATTTTTAAAAATGTCGTGCGGGCTATCTCGATTCTACATTTTATCTCTTATTCTGGATCTAGTTGTTCAGTAATATGGCAACCAAGATAATTAAAACTGGACACTCTCTGAATTATATGACCATCAACATATAATCGTGCACCTTGATGTGTTAAACGTCTAAACACCATGTGTTTTGATTTTGAACAGTTTATGTTGAGGCCAAACTCTCTTCCCATTGTATCAATGGCATGTAAAAGGCATTGTAGTCCATTTATGTCATCACTTAAAATAACGGTATCGTCTGCATATCTGATTGTATTTATCAGAATTCCATTAATTTTCACGCCCCATTCCAAATTATGCAGCGCTTCTTTAAATATTATATCTGAATATAAATTAAATAACAGTGGGGATAGTATACAACCCTGTCTGATACCTCTTTGTATTTTACATATTTCTGTTGATTTTCCGTTTATGCAAGCTGTCGCTGTTTGACGCCAGTATAACTTTTCTATGAATCGTATGTCTTGACTATTAACTCCTTTATCTTTTAATATTGTAACTAATTTGTGATGCTGTACTTGATCAAAGGCCTTTTCATCGTCAATAAATACAACAAAGACGTCTTTTCTTTGATCTCGACATTTCTGCAGTAATACATTTAGTGCAAAGAGCGCGTCTCGAGTTCCCAGTCCATTTCTTAAGCCAAATTGTGTTTCATCCTGGTCTTCTTCACATTTATCTCTGATTCTACTATGGATGATGCGTAGAAATATTTCCAAAGTGCGGCTCATAAGGCTTATCATTCTATAATCGCTACAGTTTTTCGGACGTTGTTTTTTTGGTAGTGTTATGAATTCGGACTTTAACCAATCTTCAGGGATATCACCAGTCGAATAAACATCATTGAAAAGCTTGATCAGTATTCCAATTTTCTTCTCATTTATAAGCTTTAACATATCTGTCGGTATGTTATCAGGGCCAACGGCTTTCTTGTTCTTTGCTAACTTTATAGCATGCAGTATTTCTGATTTTAGTATTATTGGTCCTTCACCTTCAACTAAAGTCTCCAGTTCTTCGGGTCTATCATCATTATACAGTTCACTTATACATATAATTACACCAGGTTAAACGGACTTAAAAAGGTTAATTTAATATTAACGAAATTGAAAAAAAATTTAGTGACAGATAAAAACTTAATAGCAAAAAATTGTCAGCGCTGTTTAAACATATTTTATTGTTAAATGGAGCAATATGCAGAAGAATTTAAAATGTGGTAAAATACTGTACAAATTATTGAAATTGACAATTTTAAAAAATATTAATTGGTGCTTTAAGTTCTTGAAGCAGTGTCTTATCAAAAATATTAAATGAAAAGCACGGAAAAAAAGTGCAAGATATTATTTTTCGCTATAATTTCTACGTATTTAGTGAGAATTACTCCATTAGTATTCTGAATTGCTATTGTATTTACCTTTTTCGTGCTTCTTAAATTTTTGAGCACTTAAAAGATTAGTTTTTGATTATCTTTATTGTTTCGTTCTAATTTCACTTTTAAGTATCTTGATTACCTCTTTTGGCCGTTTTTTATCTTTTCTGTTTTATTTTGTGTATAATTCATAATGTTTTTATGTATTATTTGTGTACTGTTTCCACTTGTCCGTATTTTGTATATTCTTTTTATATATTTTTAAATTTTGAGATTATGTAGAAATTGGTAGATTTAAATTCAAGATTTAAGGTTGATTTTACTACAATTTGCTACAATCTTAGATTTTTAAACCGTACATTGTTACCAGAACCCAGCATAATCATTCCTTGGAGTAAATATGCAAAACTAGTAACGCAACATTATATACACTTTGGGAGAGAAACTTAATATACCGAAATATAGTAAAACTAATGAAGAAGTACTAAGGAGTGTCAACAAAGATAGAGAACTGCTAAAGACTGTTAAACTTCCAAAAATGTCTTATCTGGGACATATAGTAAGGGGAAGTCGATATAAAATATTACAACTGATCCTACTACTACTACTAAGGATTTCCATAGTTTTCACTGTCTTCCTTCACTCAACCGTTTTCTCCAATTTTCCCTGTCATTCCAGTCTCCATCTCGCAGGGTTCTTTTCTCCATAGTCTCGTCTCTGAATGACCTTCAAGGTCTTCCTCTCTTTCTTCTTCCGATCGGGCTCCATTCTGTGATTTTGTTTATCCAGCGTCCTCTGTCCGCTCTTCTGACGTGGCCGTACCAGGATAGTCTCTTCTCCTCTATATAGTCGATTATGTCTGATTGCACTCCCATTCTCCGCTTAATCTCTGCGTTTTCAATTCTTTTTGTAAGTATATAGCTTCTCCTCAGGAACTCCATTTCTACTGCTCTTATTCTACCTCTATTTCTCTTGTTTATTGTCCAGTTTTCGGACCCATATGTCAGAATACTTCTTGTCAGGGTATTATATATTCTCTTTTTTGTCTTTATCGTAATGTTCTTATCCCACAGCACTGAATTTAGTTGTCTTATACAGTTTCTTGTTTATCTTAGTCTGTTGTTTATATCTTCTTCTGTTGTTCCCTGGTTCGATATTATGGTTCCTAAATACTTGAATGTATCTGTTCCATTTACTTGTCTTCCCTCGTCTATCTCTAGGTTTTTCATATCCTTCTTTTCTGTTGTTAGGTATTCGGTTTTCTCTAAGTTTATTTTCATTCCGTTGTTTTTTATATTCTTCTTCTAGTTTTCTAAAGCTGAGATCTTCTTCATCTTGTGCGATGACTACTTGATCGTCGGCAAAACTTAACGTGTATAGCTATTCGTCTCTTACTGGTATGCCCATTCCTTCGCACTTTCTTCTTCATGGTTTGAGTGTCTTTTCCAAGAATATTTTAAAACAGAGTAGGGGACGTAGCACAGCCTTGTAGAAGTCCTTTTGTCGTCCTAAATGGATTGTAGGCTTTGATAGATTGTAGACAACTGATCCTTAAAGGCAAAATAGACGGCCGTAGAGGTGTAGGAAGAAAACAAGTTTCTTGGTTAAAAAACATTTGGACTCAGATACCAAATGCAGAACAATTATTCCATATTGCAGAAGATTGAGAAGCTTTCGCAATGGTGATCGCCAACGTCGGGTAGTTCTGATATGGCACGCGAAGAAGAAAAATACCTAAATATCAGCAGGTGATAACAAAGGCCATTGGGACCCCAGATTAGTTTGACACAAATTAGTGAACCCGGAGATATACTGGAAACATTTCTAATATAAACATTACTAACGCATGTTCCTAAA